GACAACCCAAAAAAAAAATAAACAAAAAAAAAAAAAAAAAGCAAAAAAAAAACTAAACGATAGAAAGCAAACAAAAAAAAGATAAACAACAAAAATGGAAAATTAAAAAGTTTGATAACGGTAGGTCTTGCGTCTTTCCTTAAAAATGGATACAAAAGAAGACTCCCGGATTTCAATGGGGAGTGCATTCCATAGCTTCGGAGAAGCAGCTTGTTCAATGGAAATCACAAATTCTGTAAAATAATTTCTCTAGAATTACAAATCAATGACTGTGTACCATATATTCTTGTGTTTAAGACGACCCTCAAGTTTGAGAAAATTTTTGGATGATTTTTGTATGTCAGGCGTATAAGACTGTCGGAATTTCTCCTTTCGATATGAGCTACTGGGACCAAGCCTGCATTTAGCCTTCAAATCGCCATACAAGTCCAAAGTCTAGGCTTGGTAAAGTTCACAGACTTCACTGTATCAGCATTTAAAAAGCATCAATTAAAACTTAACCAACAAATTAAACAACAATCTTCTTGTATGGCATTCATTTCTTGCTCATCAAGCAATGGTAACCATACTAACGTTTAGTAACTTCATTTCAGTATTAAATTTGCATGTTACGATGCTGAGCACATGACAACAAAATTTAAAAAAAAACTTGTTGCAAGTATAAGACAACCTCCCTGTTTTTTTGTTTTTTGTTTTTTTTGTAATTTGCTATTTTAAGCATGATCTTATACGCTAGAATATACGGTACACAGGATTTTGTTAAACTACCAGGTTTGTTGCTATTACCTTGGAGGCATCTGCTGGATGAGGTAGTTAGTGTTAGACTGTTGAGGGCCAGCCATCGGCACTTGTGGCTGTTGGTAGTTCCTAGAATAGTACAGACTCACATCAGGCATGTTGTACGATGGCATCATACCAGCAAACATTTGACCTACATGGAAATTCTGTCTGAGATGCTGTAGTTTTGCCGATGACTGACTTGAGGATGTTTGGGGGCCACCAGGAGGGGGTGGTGGCGGAGGTGGTTCTGTATTTTTATTTGATTTATTCCTAGACGACTGGGAAGGAGGGGGTGGAGGAGGAGGGGGAGGTGTAGTAGTGTGTGACATTCCATTGGGTAAGAATTTGGTTGAAGGGGGATAGAAGTTATGAGCTTGAGGGTTACTCTGTGAGTATGACTGCTGAGGCATTACCATGGGTCCCACAGACATATTCATGTTGGCTGATGGCCCATGCATTTGACCCATTGTATTGTATGAATTCTTAAAGTACTGATTACTAACCATAGAAGCATATCCATGGTTTGCAAATGCCATGTCCTTCACATTGTTAAAATTCCCTGATCTTAAATGTTGATTATTTGTTTGAGCATTGCCTGAGACAAAGTTACCAGTTGGATTCGTCGATACAGCTGAACCAAACTGATTCGTTTGCTGTCCGCAGTTCACATTGTTCATGTTTGCAATCACCTCACCATGGAACGATGGGTTAAAGTTCATTTGTTGATTGTTGCCAGTAGCGGAATTTGTCCAAGAAGTCTTGAGCGAACCAGCAGTATTAGATTTGGATTTTCGTCTGGACTTGGCTCCAATTTTAACATTTCCTGCAACAGGGTTTGGACTAGAAATGACTCCATTAGGGATGTAGTAACTTGTAGATGGCACCTGGAGAGGTCTGTTAACAACTTGCTGAAGTGTCTGCCTGTCATCTACTAGGAAATTCTTCTCAATGCTCTGCTGCTGGCTAGTACTGGATTTCACAACAGGAGCCATTTCTCTGTACTTTTCATCAGGCATATCAGGTGTTACTGAATTGTATGGGGCATAACGTTTGGCAAATGTACGACCTTCCTTCATTGAGAATTTTTTATGAAATTGTTCTCTTCCTTCCTTTTTTGAGAATTTCTTGTGATACTGTTCTCCATAACAAGAAAATGACTCTTTACCTTCACCAAAAAGCTTGACTTCTTCTCCAACACCTAAAGTTCCATTAGGTACATCTTCATGAGATTCTGTTACTGGTGGCAAATCTAGTGCAATTGAAGCTTCATTGATGCCATGTATGTATGATGTATCATTCGAGATTTCTGACATTCCAACTTCATCTGGTGTTGAGCTTTTTACTGAAATAGTAGACTCTGTCATTTTCTCATTGTACTCAGAATTTAGAAGTAGACATCCAGGTGTTTTAGGTCGCCAAAAGTCATCACTCACAGATTCTGGAATTTCAGAAGTGGCTCTTGGTTCCTCTGGTACTTCCTCCAAAGCACTAATTGAGGCAATGGCAGCTTGTATCTCATCATCAGCTCCATGACGACCACTGCGTGCTGGATCACTGATGTCAACAGACTCTAAATTATGTGCAACCTTATCTGGTGGCATTGCTTCTTGAGGTATTGCATCGAGTTGTAATTCACTGCCAGCAGAGGTTACACATTCAGACCCTATAGCTTCAGTTGCACTACTAGACTCATTCTTTAGTTGGTTTATGGATTCATTCTTCAGAATGTCTCTTGGAATTTCTTGCTCTGCCTTTGTCAATTCACCTTTGGGTCTTGGACTGTTTCCAGAACTCTGGCGCCTTATCTCCTTACTCTTACATACCTCACTTGAAGCAAAGGCCATCAAGGCATCAAACCCACTACTAATCTTGGCTTGCCATTTCTTGCTGTTAGGCGAGTCCTTTACTTTGCCACCTGGAGTAAGAAGGTGACTAGGAGGAGATGCAACTCGATCTACAGATTCAAAGAGAAAAACTTGGTATTTACCATTTAATAGTATTTGTTGCTTCAATCCCTAGCCAATAGGCCCAGGGGTGTATCCAGGATTTTTTCTGGGTGGGTTGTGATCATAATTTTTTGGACCTTTTCACAATGAAATAACAGCAAGATGTGATAAAAATAGAAATTTGCTGCCAAATTGACACAGAGTGAGGACGTTCATTCCTTGGAATTGAGATTATGTCACACAATTGGCAAGGTCTTTGGACTCATTGCTGGTACCTCATCAACTCTTTTTCATTTATGTCATTGTGAAAAGACCCTAGAAAAAATGTCTTTGGAAAAAATATGGACCTTAAGAAAAAAATGGTTTTTTTGGGGGGGAGGGGGGTTGTACAATCTTCCTGACCCCCTTGCATACACCTACGGGCCTGATTACATACAACTAACAATTTTAATGCATTACTGGATTTATATGGATTTTGATATATGAAGAATCTTTCTACAATGCAATTATTATAACTTAAAGATATTACTAACCTTTATCATTTCCAAATATATTTGCTGCCCTCTTCTGTTCCATCACATTTGCACTAGAAGGTGTTTCCTGAGATGTTGTGATAACACTCCTGTTAAATGAAGAAATTGTTTTAAAAATATTTCAAGCAGTATTAATATAACAATGTGGTTACTCTACTGCTTCTTCTTTACAAAAGAAAAGATCTCCAACTTACCTCGGTATAGATTGTTGACTGGATGAGATTATTGGTTCTTTGATGCCTTGATGAATGTTCAAGTCATCCTTCAGGGCTGAAAATTGGTCACATACTTCTGAACCTTCTGGTGATGAAATGGCACTGATGTCTAATGGCTGACTGGCAGTTGTCACTAGAGATATGACATCTTGTGATGGTGGTAACAATGGAAGGGGAGCTGGAGTAGAAGACTTCTTTGTGGTTGGTTTCTTTGCTGTACTACCTCCTTGGGAAGAGGATGCTGGAGATCTTTTTCTGGTATTTCTTCTGGATTTAGGTTCAGGCTTTCCTTTGCCATCTTTTGCTGATGAGTTCATCATGCTGGCACCATCAGGTCCATTTGTACCAATAAATAACTGGGGAGCCTTAGCTGTAAGGGGCCCAAATGCTGAACTAGGGATAGTGTAAACTGGGGTTGGCACTGATCCAAGCACCATCATTGGAATAGTTGATGGCACAGTTGGAACTGGTTCTTTACTTCCTGTGGACAATCTTGTGGTACTTGAAGATCTGGTTGTCATTGTGACCTCTTTTGACTGAGATGGCATTGACAGCGAGGTTAGAGATGGTGTTGTAGTCAATGTCAGTGATCCTGATGGGTAAAGTTCAACATTTTGAGGGCTTAGTGGTTGTTCTAAAGACTGGTCTTTTCTCAGTTCCTGAACTTTCATAATTTTCTGGGGAGAAGGCACTGGTAATCCAATACTAGGATTTAAAGTCAGTGGATTCATTAAAGAATAGCTATGACTTAGGCTCTTGCCTTTCACTGGTGGGGTGCTTAAGTCTTTCATAATGGTTGGAGATTCAGTTTTGATTTCTATGATGCCACTGGTAGGGTGTGGCGTACCTGTAAATACAGGTGACACTGGTGAAATAGGTACTGTAGTAATGTTAGTAAGAGGTGATGTAGAGCTTGCATTCTGCAGCTGCTTTCCTTCTAATCCCTGTGAAGCTAATGTTTGGCTCGCTGGAGGCAACATTCCGGTAGATTGCTGAATTACCGACGTAAAGGCTTGTGTAGTCACGGCAACGTGTGCAGCACTTTGAATACTGGCCGTGGTTGGTCGCATGCTCGATAGTACTGTTGAGGTGTTGGCTGTGACATTAGGCCCATTCATGAAAGAATCCTGAGTAAGGGCCTCGAGTGAGGAGAGCGGTGCAGCATTTTTATGCAGTGATTTCAGCAGCATGAGCTGTGCCTCAGCGGCATCTGCATCCTCCTGACTTTTGGATGACAGACGTCGAATCTTTGGCTTACTGGTTTCAGGGCTCTTTCTCTGACGTGGCTTCCTACATTGCTTTGGAGATTTCATGAGCTTTTCTTGTTTGATAGCCTGTTTTTTCAAAGTAACAAGTTCTGATTCCAGTCTAGTGGCATGTTTCTTCAGATGTTTTTTGTTGTTCATCTCCTGGATAATCTGCTCACGTATCAACATTGTGGGATCCGCCTTTTTCTCTGTCTTTGCATTCATTAATAAATTAGTTACAACATCACTGTTTTGAATCTAGAAAGACAAAAAAGAAAGCAATAATTGAAGAATTGCAATTTTATTCAATAGAGGCAGAGATTTAACTTCTAGGTGAGAAAAATAAATTAAGTGTTCACATTGTGAACACTAATTAATATTATGAAAAACATTCAAAATTTGCAATATATAAAAACATCATGCGACTGTATTCAGGAGCATACACTATACTCAATTAGTCACAGAAATATTAACCAACTTACCAATTTATTATGTTCCGATTCCAGATCAGTTATCTGCATTTGCACACTGTCCTCTTTCACCTGGAGGTCTTTGTGTTGTGTTACAATCTCTTTGGCACGACTGATAAGTTCTGTTGGGGTCTTTGCTTCAACGCCAAGCTACATTAAACCAAGAAAAAAAAAATTTTTTTTTGTTTGTTTCCTTATTACTAATTCATTAAACTCTCATCCTCCAAGCACTGTTGCCCACGACACAATTGAAGGGATATTTTTTACATTAAGAGAAAAATTTGTTTTCAATCATGAAAGGAAAATTCTGAATTTCAACCACCAAGATATAGCTAAACATAATTATTCAATCACCAAATTTTTAAGGTACTAAAAGCCAATTATTTCCACTGTGATCCCTAAATGGTGTGTGTCTGGTTGAAGATTTTTTTGAGTTATTGGTACAAACCTCTAAAAGCCTTCTGTTAAGCAGATTCATAGAGTCTTTCACAACATGTTGGATCTGGTTCTCTAGGTTGGCTTTTTTTAAATACAACTGTTCTTGACGAGCCTGTAACAAATAACAATTACTTAAAATACGATTGGCTAAAAAATCAAATAAAAAAAATAAATAAAAGTCAGTCATGATGTCACCATTTCATTTTCAATGTTATCTTACTATCCCTGCACCAGAAATACTTACATAATGAAAATAATAATAATAATATGTCGTTCTTATATAGCGCTTAATGCCTTAACAAAGCCTCTAAGCGCTTCACATTATTACCCCGGTCATTGGATCAAACACATATGGAACACATTGAAACACAAAATGAAATTATTAAATTAAATTCTCCATAATATTGCGGCTAGTAATCAGCGCTGTGTTGGAACCTACCAGGTACCCATTTGTACTCCTGGGTGGAGAGAGGCAATCGTAGATAAAGTGCCTTGCCCAAGGACACAAGCGACTTGCACAGCGAGAGTTTCGAACCCCCGACCTCAAGGTTGGGAGTCCAAGCCACAACCGATGCGCCAACCACTTCTACGAAGCTAATAGTGAATTCAACTATATAGTGTATTTGAATGTATGCATATGTTGAATATAAATTTGAGGTTTAGAATAAAATGTGCTTCAATTGTATTATTAGGATTATCTTGGGAAGGGGTACACATACAAATACGAAGCTGGCCATTCTAAAATCAGCGTACTGTTGCTAATTGTTAAATTAGCATAAAGAATGTGCCAGTATTGTATACTTCAGTACAAAAAAGCCGTTTTACTTTTACTCATAACTTTGACAACAGTAAGTCAATTTCCACTAAATGAAATCATTTTAAAGCTTACAATGTGGCGAATAATATAGCGCATTATAATGATCTCTCAGAGTGCTATTACACACAAAATGAACAAATTTAAAAAGAATTAAATATTAAAAAGATGCTTTTTTTAGGTGGTCCTTGAACATATTCAAGGATGTTGCCTCCTTAATAAATATTGGGAACTGGTTCCACAATAATGGTTCACTGGCCGAAAAATATCGAAAGACATATATTGTTTTAGATGTTACCGGTGTGACAAGCATGCCAGAAGAGGATGTAAGTAAACGGCCAGACTGGTGAGGAAGTACAAGCTCGGATAAATAAATTGGTGCTTTGCTCTGAAGGGCCTTATAGATTAAAAGAAGGACTTTGAAAATAATTTGTTGAGTATCAGTGAACATGTATAATGATTACACTTACCTTTTCTTCCTGCAGTTGTTGTTGAATTTGAGCCAGGTAGTCCGGAGTCTTCATGTATGAGAGAAAGCCCACTAGTTCCATTCTGTAAAGGTCTGCGTGAAACCAGAAAACAAACCAAATTGTACATAAATAACACATTGTCATTAATATTATCATCTTTATCAATAATATCATTATCAGTGCAATAAGCTAATTTATGTTAGACTAAACACAATATCATTATCATTAATGGTATTAGTATCATTAATGTCTTCATTATCCACAGAGCAAGTATCATTAATACCTTTTATTATTAATTTTTGAATACATTCATTGTTTTCATAGGTATTTTTGGATAATTTTCTTTTGTTTAACAAGTGTATTTAAAAAAAATTATCATTAATATTATCAGTGTCAGGAAGACTCTGTCCATTGAAATGCAATATAAAACAATGCAGGAAATCTTTTGTTCATAACTCAACTCACCTTTTCAGAGATAGTTTGTATATTATACTTGTATATATTTTTTTGTCAGTCTTTCATGTATATATCATTTTAAATCTTTTCAAAAATTTATTTTATACTATATTATTCATGTTCGCCTTGTTTTGTGATCACGACAATAAAATTTACCTATCTTATATACTATTAATATTTATAATATTTGAGGCTTGCCATCCCAAAACCAGCATACATTTGCTAATTGTTAAACTGAGTACAGTTATTAGCATTGGAATGTGGCAGTACTGCATAAAGAGAATGTACAGAGAAACCGCAATACTTTCAATAATAATAATAATAATAGTGTAGTTTTATATAACGCCGTATCCATCTAATATAAGATGCTCAGGATGCTTAAAATGTGGAATAGGGAAACTATCAGTGACTTTCTTCGCCCCTAAGGGTCCCTTCGTGTCTGTGCTACTCGGTAACCACGGTACCAGCAACTCTCGTTGTCCACCACAGGGGCTGTCTGTTCCAGTACACTGGGGTATCCCCCACTCGTTTCGAAGGATGTACTGGGTTCTTTATAGTGCACACGAGCCATTGTATACACTGGGCCTACGGTTTATAGTCCTTATCCAAGAAGACTTGTTCTACCACCAGAACAATAGGCGAGTGTGCCGTTCGAATCAGTGCCAATATTACGGCTATAGCTTGCGGCGCCCCTGATAACCGCTCGGCCATTCCATTAAATGACTCATCATTTTAAAGCTTTATAATGTGGAGAATAAGAATATTTTCATTTATTTTTTAATTTTTTTTATTTATTTATTTTTTTTATTTTAACTGATGCTGGTATTGGGATGGCAAGCCTTATTCACTGACATAATTGAACTCACCCAGCAACTGTTGTATGGCAGCTTCTTGTTCCAATGAAGGCTGGTTAAGACGTATAGGCGATGTTAGGTTGCTCTGAGAGGCTTTCACCATACTAGCCATGTTGAAAGATGGGCTGTGCATACCAGAAAATGGCCCTACAAAAAAAAAAAAAAAATGATAAAGCTACTTGTATAATCTTAACATTACAACAATAATGTTAACACTGCCTTACATTTCTTGCATTCATGAAATCTCGTTAACTTTAATAGATCCCAATTTTGCCTATCATCTTAGATTTCTACTATTGGCATGCTAACACAGTGGCAAAAATTTGGAGCCGGGCGCACACCTGTCTCTTATACACATCTAGATGTGTATAAGAGACAGTTATTACCCCGGTCATTGGATCAAACACATATGGAACACATTAAACACTAAATGAAATTATTAAATTAAATTATATCTCCATAATA